TTATGCTGGGCTTCCTCATAAGTTGTAGGAGAATTACCCTTGTGATTTTCATAAAGATGGCTGGCAATTTCATTGCAGATTTTCATACTTATCTCTCAGAATTTCATTCTGAATTTCATATTTATCCCCACTGCTTTCATTGCGACTTTTCATTACTCAGCTCTCAAGATTTCATTCTGAATTTCATATTTATCCCCACTGTTTTCATTGTGACTTTTCATTATTCTGCTCTCAAGATTTCATTCTGAATTTCATACTTATCCCCACTGCTTTCATTGTGACTTTTCATTATTCAGCTGACAGAATTTCATATTTATCCCCACTGCTTTCATTGCAACTTTTCATTATTCAGCTCTCAATATTTCATTCTGAATTTCATATTTATTCCCACTGCTTTCATTGCGACTTTTCATTATTCAGCTCTCAGTATTTCATTCTGAATTTCATATTTATTCCCACTGTTTTCATTGCAGCTCCTCATATTTACCCCCAATATTTTCATTGGGATTTTTCAGATGTATCCCACATGTTAGGGTCCATGCAATGGGCTTCCATAGAAGTGGTCACATGACCAGTCACCAAAAATGGTCAAAAAACAAAAGTTGTAGCCCTACAGTGTAGCTTCCCAAATCTGTTTGAATTGTATTCTGAAATGCTCCCATTGTGGAGATGAGGTAAAGGAATGTCAAAAGTGTCGCGTTTTTTTTTGTATTTTGTGTTTTTCTCTATGAAATCAAAACCAAATTCAGTATATTTAGAAAGCTAAAAGAAAGGGCTACAATTATTGTATCATGGGAAAAATGAGCAAAAAAGGAAGGTGCATGCCCTACCATAACAGTCAGATATATGACTACAAAAACGTCGGACTTATACTACACAGTTTACTGATGCACTATAAAAGACTACAAAAGTTGCACTTAGACTACAAAGTTAGGGTTAGGGCCAAAAGGTTATCTTGACTACAAAATTTTGTAGTGTTGAGCCTTTTCATTAGAAAAGTTTGTAGTGTCCGCTTTTTGAGACTACAAAAGTTTGTAGTGTGCGCTTTTTCATTAGAAAAGTTTGTAGTGTGTGCTTTTTCATTAGAAAAGTTGTAGTGTCCACTTTTTGAGACTACAAAAGTTTGTAGTGTGCGCTTTTTCATTAGAAAAGTTTGTAGTGTCCACTTTTTGGAGGTCTTTATGCTGCCACTGCTTTTCCAAGCGCACTCCAGCCGGACTCCGTTGGACTGAGGGTATGCAGAACAGATATTTTCAGTACTTTACACTCCCACTGTTTGTCCAATGGAATCCGATGGACTTTCAATAGACCCTGCCATTTCCGATGGACTTTCAATGGACCCTGCCATTTCCGATGGAATCCGACGGACTTTCAATAGACCCTGCCATTTCCGATGGACTTTCAATGGACCCTGCCATTTCCGATGGACTCAGCAGACAGTCTGTTGGAAGACCATCGGATTCCGTTGGACATAACTGGATTCCGCTGCTAGTCCAGGCAAAGTCCAATGAAAGTCTGCTCAAGCCATTTAGAAGCAAGAAATGGTTGGACTGGCTGGAATTCTGTGTCTGTTGGATGTCCGCTGGACTTCCGTTGGATTTCCAATGGACAGAGGCAGAAACCAGTCATAATTGCTAAGTTCTCAGTCTGCTGGACTTCCACTGGACTTCCAATGGACTTCTAAGCAAAAATGGCACAACTTCCAACAGACTTTCAGTGTCCAGTCTGCAATTCTTATAAGTAAATCTAAACAAGTCAGGCCCTGGTCAGACCTTATGCTGAATC